TGAGCTGCTGCTTCTGTAAGGAAAGGGACGGATGGTAGTGGGACGGAGACTGGGCAGGAGAGCCATGGGCCCAGCTTGACTCACTGCTCCTGCTGGGATCAGGGGTGGTGGGGCTGTAGGACAGGTAGGAACAGTGACTGCTACTGCTAAAAGAGGGCACCTGCCTAGTTAGTAGGAACCATTTCTCCCTGCACTCAGACAGAAGTTGAGCTGACAAAGCAGCTTAGTGCAGCCTAAAAAGCAGGTGAGAACAAAAAGCTGCTTGTCAGTGCACAAACCATAGCTGGTTTGCAGTGCTTTCTGTTTTAATGAAATCCACAGCATCAAGATGATTGAGGTGAGCTTACCTTCTCCCTGTGCACTCCCACACACCTTAGCAGCTTGACTCCATTCCTTGGACCTTTGCTCCTGAGGTCAGTCCCCCTCTAAAAGATACCCTCACTGCAGATGTTCTTTGCGTTCCTCTCCCACTGTGCCTCCCACCATGCCCAACACCCTGCTTGGAAATGCTTGAGCACTTTCTTGTGTCTCTTTCTTCCCTTTCTGGTGATTTGAGCAACCAACCAGCAGCAGAGTCACCCAGGCTTGCAAGGAAATGAACAGACTTTTTGATCTGTAAAGAGTAAGCATCTTTTGGCCACAAATGACTGACTGATACATTTTGGAAAAGGAGGTGTCAATACCTTCAGACATGCATTTTCCCTTGTGCAGGAACTTTGCTTCAGGCCGTTGACACTCATAGCTCTTTAGCTGGCAGTAAGTATTGAAGGACTTCCCATTGGTAGAACAAACAGAAGAGCCATTCTTTGGGCACTGGTAGGGGAGTTTACAAAGGCACTTTCCATCCACACATCGTTCCCATGGGTGACAAAATACTTTCTTACAGGACTTGTGTGTGTATTTGTTGCTTAAGCATTCTTCTATGAGGTATGTGCCTTGCTCAGCTGGCTGGGCAGGCTCGACCTGCTGAAACCAGTTTCCTTCTTCATTAGATGCTACATTCTGCAAGGCACAAAATACAAAACAAAAAAACAGGGAGTAAGCTTAGGAACTGTACCAAGAGTTCTGCAGGTTCCTTTACTGACCTCAACAAAGTGTTAATTCATGAGGCTTTTCCTATCTTACAAGCACAAAGGTGCTAAATATAACTGTTTATTCCCTTGTGTTTATTCCCTTGTGTTTAGCCACCTCATCTTTCTCAGTTTTTCTGAACTTTTTTTCTTTCTTTGTTGATCATTTGGTGGGTGTGATCTTCACACTTACTGGTCTCCCAAAAACTTTACACTCTTTACTCTTCAAACATCAGCTGAAGTGCACAGTAGATTATAAACATTTTTTAAGCCATTGTTTTATAACACACCACAGCAGTGGGACTGCAAGCAAATAAAAACATAAGTTGATTTAAACACCAGAAAAACAAAAAAAGATAACTTCACTTTTTTTTCTGATATTTTTTTTATTTGCTTGGTTTGCTTTAGGTTTAAATATCACCTGTAAATGTTTACAAATTACTTAGAAGCAAATAAAGAAATCTAAAATGAATTGTTTCACTATGTGACTGTTAAAATAACAAGC